GGTTATCTTCTTCAATTCTCAGTCTTACAATAAGTTCATCCATGGTCATCTCTTTGCGTTTATGTTTTAAATAATTTTTGAAATCTTTCCAAGCCGGTGGTAACTTTTTCTATCGAATCTCGGGACGAGATTCTTTTGAGGTGTGTATATTGTAGCGACCCTAATTTTTCTTAAGTCAATTATTTATTATTATGGTTATTATTATCTTATTTTATTTTTGACTTTATTATTTGTGTGGTCACATAAAAATTTAATGTGGTATTTAATGAATTTAATGTGATAATTAATAAATTTATTGTGTTATTTAATTAATCCACATATATATATATATTTGTTATAAAAAAAAAAAAAGATGTTATATTTATGTATATTACAATTCTATGTAGTATATAATATATTATATTATAATATTCATATTAGATTAGGATAGGAAATTAGGTTATTGTATATATATATTATATAAGTAGTCAAAGTAGGTTTTAATCTCTTTTGGTGAAAAGTTTCCCATCGGCAGCCGTAGGCGTGAGTGAGAGAGAGAGATTAACAAAGAAAATTTTGAGAAAGCAGAGGAACGGCGACAGTGGAGAGGAAGAGAGGAAAAAAATAAAAAGGATTAGGGTTTTGTTTTGGGGGCTCTTTTAGTTCTCTAAATATTTCTTTGATCTTCAAAATAATATTGTGAGTACATGTGGCGTGGAAAGAGAAGAAAAAAAAAGAAAAAAAAAAAAAAAGATTAGGGTTTGTTTTGGGGGCTCTTTTAGTTCTCTAAATATTTTATTGACCTTCAAAATAATATTGTGAGTACAAAATTCATTTTTTTTTGTTTACATTTGATTCGTTATATTTATTTATTTGTATTTATTTAATATTGATTTGATTTTTGTATTGATATGAAGATGACAGATTGCTTTTAATTGTTTTGATTAATTGGGTCCGTAAGGTTTATGATTTTTTTAGATGATTGATTAATTTTAATTATGTTGATTAGACGTATATGTAAGATTTAGGATTTTTAGATGATTAATAGATTGTAATAATTTTAATTAGTTGGGTATGTAAGGTTTGGGATTCTTTTTAGATGATTGATTAATTTTAATTATGTTGATTAGACGTGTATGTAAGGTTTAGGATTTTTAGATGATTAATAGATTGTAATAACTTTAATTAGTTCGGTATGTAAGGTTTGGGATTTTTTTAGATGATTGATTAATTTTAATTATGTTGATTAGACGTATATATAAGGTTTAGGATTTTTAGATGATTAATTGATTGTAATAATTTTAATTAGTTGGGTATGTAAGGTTTGGGATTTTTTTTTAGGTGATTGATTAATTTTAATTATGTTGATTAGATATATATGTAAGGTTTAAGGTTTTAGGTGATTAATTGATTGTAATAATTTTAATTAATTGAGTATGGAAGATTTAGGATTTTTAGATGATTGATTAATTTTAATTATGTTGATTAGATGTATATGTAAGGTTTAGGATTTTTAGATGATTGATTAATTTTAATTATGTTGATTAGATGTATATGTAAGGTATAAGATTTTAGATAATTAATTGATTGTAATTATCTTAATTAGTTGGATATGTAAGGTTTAGAATTTTTAAAGGATTGACTAATTTTTAATTATTTTGATTAGACGTGTATATAAGGTTTAGAGTTTTTGGATGATTGATTGATTTTAATTATTTGCATTAGTTGGGTATACAAGGTTTAGGGTTTTATTTTGGGTGACTTTATTAATTCTTTAAGTGATTCTTTGATCTTCAAAAATAATTGTGAGTACAAACTCCACTTCCTTTGATTTATGTTTAATTCGTTGTTTTCATTTATTTATTTATTTTTATTTATTTGATGTTAGTTTGATTTTGTTTTTACATAAAGATGATAGATTAATTTTAATTATTTTTGATTAGTTGTGGATATAAGATTTAGGGTTTATAGATGATAAATTGATTTTAATTATTTTGACTAGTAGTATATGTAAAGTTTAGGGTTCTTAGATAAGTGATTGATTTTAATTACTTTGATTAGTTGTGTAGGTAAACTTTAGGGTTTTTAGATGATTGATTAATTTTAATTACTTTGATTAGATGTATATGTAAAGTTTAGGATTTTTAGATCATTGATTAATTTTAATCATGTTGATTAGATGTATATGTAAGGTTTAGAATTTTTAAATGATTGACTAATTTTTAATTATTTACTTCGGCTGAAGTGTAACAAGTGTTGGTTTATTCCAGCCAACCACTCTTCAGCCTTACACTTACTTCGGCTGAAGTGTAACAAGTGTTGGTTTATTCCAGCCAACCACTCTTCAGCCTTACACTTACTTCGGCTGAAGTGTAACAAGTGTTGGTTTATTCCAGCCAACCACTCTTCAGCCTTACACTTACTTCGGCTGAAGTGTAACAAGTGTTGGTTTATTCCAGCCAACCACTCTTCAGCCTTACACTTACTTCGGCTGAAGTGTAACAAGTGTTGGTTTATTCCAGCCAACCACTCTTCAGCCTTACACTTACTTCGGCTGAAGTGTAACAAGTGTTGGTTTATTCCAGCCAACCACTCTTCAGCCTTACACTTACTTCGGCTGAAGTGTAACAAGTGTTGGTTTATTCCAGCCAACCACTCTTCAGCCTTACACTTACTTCGGCTGAAGTGTAACAAGTGTTGGTTTATTCCAGCCAACCACTCTTCAGCCTTACACTTACTTCGGCTGAAGTGTAACAAGTGTTGGTTTATTCCAGCCAACCACTCTTCAGCCTTACACTTACTTCGGCTGAAGTGTAACAAGTGTTGGTTTATTCCAGCCAACCACTCTTCAGCCTTACACTTACTTCGGCTGAAGTGTAACAAGTGTTGGTTTATTCCAGCCAACCACTCTTCAGCCTTACACTTACTTCGGCTGAAGTGTAACAAGTGTTGGTTTATTCCAGCCAACCACTCTTCAGCCTTACACTTACTTCGGCTGAAGTGTAACAAGTGTTGGTTTATTCCAGCCAACCACTCTTCAGCCTTACACTTACTTCGGCTGAAGTGTAACAAGTGTTGGTTTATTCCAGCCAACCACTCTTCAGCCTTACACTTACTTCGGCTGAAGTGTAACAAGTGTTGGTTTATTCCAGCCAACCACTCTTCAGCCTTACACTTACTTCGGCTGAAGTGTAACAAGTGTTGGTTTATTCCAGCCAACCACTCTTCAGCCTTACACTTACTTCGGCTGAAGTGTAACAAGTGTTGGTTTATTCCAGCCAACCACTCTTCAGCCTTACACTTACTTCGGCTGAAGTGTAACAAGTGTTGGTTTATTCCAGCCAACCACTCTTCAGCCTTACACTTACTTCGGCTGAAGTGTAACAAGTGTTGGTTTATTCCAGCCAACCACTCTTCAGCCTTACACTTACTTCGGCTGAAGTGTAACAAGTGTTGGTTTATTCCAGCCAACCACTCTTCAGCCTTACACTTACTTCGGCTGAAGTGTAACAAGTGTTGGTTTATTCCAGCCAACCACTCTTCAGCCTTACACTTACTTCGGCTGAAGTGTAACAAGTGTTGGTTTATTCCAGCCAACCACTCTTCAGCCTTACACTTACTTCGGCTGAAGTGTAACAAGTGTTGGTTTATTCCAGCCAACCACTCTTCAGCCTTACACTTACTTCGGCTGAAGTGTAACAAGTGTTGGTTTATTCCAGCCAACCACTCTTCAGCCTTACACTTACTTCGGCTGAAGTGTAACAAGTGTTGGTTTATTCCAGCCAACCACTCTTCAGCCTTACACTTACTTCGGCTGAAGTGTAACAAGTGTTGGTTTATTCCAGCCAACCACTCTTCAGCCTTACACTTACTTCGGCTGAAGTGTAACAAGTGTTGGTTTATTCCAGCCAACCACTCTTCAGCCTTACACTTACTTCGGCTGAAGTGTAACAAGTGTTGGTTTATTCCAGCCAACCACTCTTCAGCCTTACACTTACTTCGGCTGAAGTGTAACAAGTGTTGGTTTATTCCAGCCAACCACTCTTCAGCCTTACACTTACTTCGGCTGAAGTGTAACAAGTGTTGGTTTATTCCAGCCAACCACTCTTCAGCCTTACACTTACTTCGGCTGAAGTGTAACAAGTGTTGGTTTATTCCAGCCAACCACTCTTCAGCCTTACACTTACTTCGGCTGAAGTGTAACAAGTGTTGGTTTATTCCAGCCAACCACTCTTCAGCCTTACACTTACTTCGGCTGAAGTGTAACAAGTGTTGGTTTATTCCAGCCAACCACTCTTCAGCCTTACACTTACTTCGGCTGAAGTGTAACAAGTGTTGGTTTATTCCAGCCAACCACTCTTCAGCCTTACACTTACTTCGGCTGAAGTGTAACAAGTGTTGGTTTATTCCAGCCAACCACTCTTCAGCCTTACACTTACTTCGGCTGAAGTGTAACAAGTGTTGGTTTATTCCAGCCAACCACTCTTCAGCCTTACACTTACTTCGGCTGAAGTGTAACAAGTGTTGGTTTATTCCAGCCAACCACTCTTCAGCCTTACACTTACTTCGGCTGAAGTGTAACAAGTGTTGGTTTATTCCAGCCAACCACTCTTCAGCCTTACACTTACTTCGGCTGAAGTGTAACAAGTGTTGGTTTATTCCAGCCAACCACTCTTCAGCCTTACACTTACTTCGGCTGAAGTGTAACAAGTGTTGGTTTATTCCAGCCAACCACTCTTCAGCCTTACACTTACTTCGGCTGAAGTGTAACAAGTGTTGGTTTATTCCAGCCAACCACTCTTCAGCCTTACACTTACTTCGGCTGAAGTGTAACAAGTGTTGGTTTATTCCAGCCAACCACTCTTCAGCCTTACACTTACTTCGGCTGAAGAGTAACAAGTGTTGGTTTATTCCAGCCAACCACTCTTCAGCCATACTAAACGATGATGATTTCTTTTGGGTCTCTGGGAACTTTGAGGATTTTCAAGCCCAAATTCCTGGCCGACCTATAAATTGGAAAATGGGAGAGCCTGGTATTTTACTTCGGTCTTCTGCTTTGTATGTTATCTCGGTTGTTTAGTCTATTAGCCGAACTAACACTTCTCTTTTTTGCAGATTTCGCCCATCTCCATTCCTTGTATAGCTATCCCAACCTCGGATTTTTGCGAGCCGCATTCCGGATTAAAGAAAGAGATTGGGCCAAGCTTCTAAATTTTGAGCCGACCTATCGCTACAGCGGTCGCCGAAAAGCAAGGGTGACTGACTTTCTTCTTGAAGAGGCACCGGAGCCGGACCCATATTTGCCCGAGATAAGACTTGTCCCTCTCACCGCAGAAGAAGAGATGGCGAAAAGGAGCAGAGTCAGGGCCCTTCTCACTGAAACAACTAGGCCCGAAGTGGCGCCTCCCAGCCAATCGCAGCCTGCTGTTGTGGCCCTTCCTTCCCAACAGCCATCCTCTTCCCGCCGAACCAAACGTGCCCGAACTGCCGAACCCGAACGAGTTGTGATTGATGCAGAACCTCCTATTCAGCCGAGCTTACCACCGAGCCCCCAACCGGAGTCTTCTGACCGAACCATCGGCTGCTGGGCACCGAAACTAACCTTCAACGACCGAGACATTCTAGACACAGACTCGGTCGTTGCTGAGAAAGACCACCTGTTGGCCATTAACCTGGCCAGGAGCGTGTGTCTGCCCAAAGACATGGAACATCACCAAAAACAGTTAACCACCGAGCTGAAGTCCATCCGGTCTGCTACTAAATCCATGATTCTGGTTAGTGACTTCGGTTGCCTTTCTGTTTATGTTTCTTTTTCTCTTTAACTCTTTCTTCGGTTAAAGGGAAGTTGTTTGCTTTGTCAGGCTATTCAGAAAAACCAAATCACCCACAGGAAAGTGCTGGAGCTGAGGAAAGTGACTAGGCAAGCAGCGGCCGAGGCAGAGGCGAAATCGGCCGAACTAGAAGAAGCCAGAAAGGAACTGGCCGAACTCCGAGGTGAGGTCGGCCGACTGACCGGAATGGTTAGTTCGGCCGAAGCTGAAAAACAAAAGACTGCCATAGTTCTGAAGGACAAGTACTTGCGCGAATTGCTGAAACTTGAAAAAAAGAAGGATGCCGAAATAAAGGAGAAGGTAAAAGAGGCTGACAAGCAGGGCTTCAAGAGGGCAGAGGATGCTTACGCCCAACAATGCAATGCTGCCAAGGATCTTTTCTTTAAGTGCGGCTGGAGGGGAGCCGTTGAGAAGCTCGGTCATGATCCTCAGACCGAGGTTTTCAACCCTCCAGCCTACTTTATACCGAACTCCCTGCTGGAATACGCCAATATGATGCAGCAGCAATTTCTTGAGGACTCAGGTTCAGATGAAGACTCTGCCACTGAGGATACTCCGGTTGCAAACGTGGATCAGGTAGATCGGCCGGAGTCCAGAGTGGAAGATCTGACTATTGAACAGCCAAATGAAACTGTGGCTCCGGTCGATACCGCTATTGTGACTGAAGGAGTCCTGCCACCAGAGACCGGTCTTCCAACTGACACTGATGCTGCCTTTGATGCCGAGATAGATGAACTTTTCTCTTAATTTTTTCCTCTCTTTGTAACCGAAGTATGCCCATGTAATGACTTCTCTTTGTAACCGAAGTATGCCCATGTAATGACTTCTCTTTGAATGAAAATTTTACGCAACTCTTATTCCGGTTGTTGTGTGTATGCCTGCATTTGTAATGTCTTCTATTACACCAATTTCTATTTCGGTTTTGGTTGTTTAAACTACTTACCAGCCAACCACTTCTTAGCCGACATAATTACTTCGGCTGAGGAGTACTAAGTGTTGGTTTAATCCAGCCAACCACTTTTCAGTCTTACACTTACTTCGGCTGAAGAGTAACGAGAGTTGGTTTATGCACTTACTTCGGCTGAAGAGTAACAAGAGTTGGTTTATTCCAGACACAAATCAATTAAGTAGATGATAAAGAAACTTAGGCGATTAAAAATAAATATGCCAGAACTATTAACGGAGAACAAAAAATAAATCAAAAAAGTTGTGAAACATAGTTGATTGAGAGACAATGCGATCGAGTATTAGGTTATGAAACAAAGTGGGTTGTTATTGTTGAAATTGTGGGTTTTTTTTAAGGCTTATTTTGGGCCAACTTTGTGTCCAAATTTGAGTGGGTCCCATACGTCTTTTGGAGTGGGTCCAAGAGGTGACGTGTTCCTTGCCGCATGTCAAGTCACACAGTGCAAACAGTTTGTCAAAACCATTTATAAGTGAATGGGAAGTTGAAGTCGCTTTTTTTGGTTCGTGGAATGGACAATTAAAGAGTAAAATGTGGGTTTCCTTGAAATGTTTGTCCCACATTAAAACTTTAAGTGAGCTTATGTGGGTATACAAGCTCTAGGTAGACACACTTAAGTTGGGCCCCAAAGGGAATCCCAAGTTTGTAGAAGGGAGGAGTTATGGACATAGTGAGCCTTGGCTCAAACCACCACACACACACCACCACCACTGTCCGACCGAGCCGAGCCGGGCCAGGTCCGAGTGCGGGTTGCGGGTTGGGTCCTTACATTAATTTTTTGGACAAAATTTATTTGAATTTTTTTCATAAATTTCTTGCAGGAAAATTATTATTTTTGGACGAAATTAATTAAAATTTTACGCCAAATTTGAATTCAATTTTCTGTTCAAAAGGTGCCTCCTCCAGTCAGAAATTACCTTCGATTTTCAATAGATTAAACTGTTCTAAATAGATTTAAATCTGTCTAGCAGATTCGGACAAGTTCAAACCTGTTTCAACAGGTTCAATTCAAATTTGTGTCTGTTTAGTTTGAATTTGTATCTGTTCAATTCAAATTCATACCTGTTCGGGTCTTTTCCTACAGTCACCAATCTACCTATAAATAGAGACCCTTTTCCAGCAGATTTTCAGATCCATAAAATTCATTTCTCTTCCTGGTTTGCTCTCTCTTTGCATTATTCTTCATACTAGTTTTAGAGGATTTTTTTTTTTTGAGAGTATAGAACACATGTTTTAGTTCGCCATACAGATTGTTTGAAGTGCTACTATAATCTGTGTAGATCATTGTATCCTGGGAGATAGATGCCATTTATCTGTAAGAACCGAAGCGAGGTAAATCAGTCTTGAGGACAGAGTGTCACACACTTGACTTGATCAATTTTGTTTTTTATTCATTTCGGTAAATAAATTTTGTAAGTAATTTATTTTTATTTTTTGATTTGGTTTCATGTTATTTATTTTACATAAAAGATTGTTCCAACAATCTTTAGACAAATTTGAATTATTCTGTTTATACAAAATTTATCGTTTGTTTCTCTTTCTTCCTTTCTTCTTCTTACAGAAATTATTTTCTGTGATTATACAAAGTAATATGCTGGTTGGAAAATACAAATAATAGTAATATACTGTATGACAAATAGTAGTAATATATTGTTTATTTTTTTTGACAACTAGTAATAATATACTGGTAGTCATTAACAATTTCAGAATATTCATTTGTGAAGTTGGTCAGAAATTAATTTTGGGTTTCAGAAAATTTTTGAGTTTTCATTAATTAAAATTCTATTTTTAGTATTTTAATTTTTGAAGTGTTATAGAAATATTTTTCTGTGAGGAATTAATTTGTTTAAATAAAATTTTATTTTCAAATTAATTGGAAATAAAAGTTATAAATTTTTTTAATTTTATTTTTACAGAATTAAATTATGTGTTTATGGTTTAAATTTTCTCTGTAGTATAAATTCTAATTCATAGCTACTGAAACTAGTCAAACTAATGTTCAAACCAGTACTGGTATGGTGATTGCAATTGCTCCAACCCCTCCTCCTGTTGTGACTGTGCCAGTCAATCAAGGTGAAAAGCAAGAGAAGTTCTTAAGAATTGATTTTAAAAGATGGTAGTAGAAAATATTGTTCTATCTTACTACTCTTAACCTGACGCGTTTCTTCCGTGAGAATGCTCCTACTCTGAAAATGATGAAACCAACTGGCAAGTGGTTGCTACGGTCAATGCTTGGAAACATGCTGATTTCTCTTGTCGAAACTACATTTTTAATGGGCTTGATAACACATTGTACAACGTCTACAGCCCTATCAAGATGGAAAAGAAACTTTGGGAGTCCTAGGAGAAAAAATACAAAACAGAAGATGCTAGCTCGAAGAAATTCGTAGTAGGCAAATTTTTAGACTTTGTGATGGTTGACTCTAAGACTGTGATCAGCCAAGTTCAAGATCTCTAACTCATTTTGTATAACATTCATGCAGAAGGCATGTCTCTCAGTGAATCCTTCTAAGTTGCTGCCTTAATTGAAAAATTACTACAAGACTGGAAGGAATTCAAAAACTACCTCAAACATAAGCACAAAGAAATGACTTTGGAAGAATTGATTGTGCATTTGAGGATTGAGGAGGACAACCACAATTCTGAAAAACGGGCTGAATGGAGTCTAAGTCAAATGTGGTAGAATATGCTTCAAAAGCAAAGAAGCGAAAGTATTCTGGAGAAAGTTCCGCATAAGGCTCTAAAGTAGGGGAAACTAAGAAGTACAAGTTCAATGGCAAATGTTACATCTGTGACAAAGAAGGACATCAGGCCAAAGATTGTCGTAGTAAACGCAAAGGCAAATGAAGATCAAGCAAGAAGCCTGCTCAAGTCAATATAATCGAAGTGGACAAAATTTCCAATGGTGTAGAGGACATAAATCTTTTTACAGTTGTTTCTGAGGCAAACCTTGTCGGAAATCCTAAAGAATGGTGGGTGGACACTAATGCTACTCGCCACATCTGTGCCGACAAAAAGACGTTCACATCTTATTCTGTGGTGGACAACGGCGAACAACTTTTTATAGGCAATTTCTCGACTTCTAAAGTTAAAGGACAAGGAAAGATTATTCTGAAGATGACATCTGGAAAGGAACTCACTCTTAACAATATGCTGCATGTACCGGACATTCGCAAGAATCTGGTTTCTGGATCTCTGTTGAGTAAAAATAGGTTTAGGCTAGTTTTTGAAAGTGATAAGTTTGTACTTACCAAAAAGGAGATGTATGTAGGAAAAGGTTACATGTTTGATGGCCTTTTCAAACTAAATGTAATGACTGTTGTCCCCTCTATTATTAATAATAATACATCTTCTTCTTACTTGCTTGAGTCTTTAAATTTCTGGCATGGTAAACTAGGACATGTTAATTATGGATCTTTGCATAGATTAATTAATATGGAATGTTTACCTAAATTTGAAATTGATCCAAATCATAAATGTGAAATTTGTGTTGAGGCAAAATTAACCAAAACTCCTTTTCATTCAATTGAAAAAAGTACAGAACCACTTGAATTAATGCATAGTGACATTTGTGATTTTAAATTAATTCAAACTAGAGGTGGGAAAAAATATGTTGTCACTTTCATAGATGACTATATTAGATATAGTTATGTTTATTTAATTCGAACCAATGATGAAGTTTTGGAAACTTTTATTCAATATAAGAATGAAATTGAAAATCAACTTGGTAAGAAAATTAAAAAACTAAGAAGTGATAGAGGTGGTGAATATGAATTATCTTTTGGTGACTTTTGTAAAGAACATGGAATAATTCATCAAACTATTGCTCTTTATTCACCTCAGCAAAATGGAATTGCGGAAAGGAAAAATAGGACTTTAAAAGAAATGATGAATGCCATGTTAATAAGTTCTAGATTACCTCAGAACTTGTGGAGGGAAGCAATACTTTTTACTAATTATATATTTGATAAAGTACCCTAAAAAAAAATGAATCAAACACCTTAGGAAATGTTGTATTGGAGTGTGGGGGTGTTTGGCTAAAGTGACTATTTCTAGTCCTAAAAAGACTAAGATATGTCCTAAAACTGCTGATTGCATATTCATTGGTTATGTCATGAATAGTAGCGCATATCTGTTTTTGATTCATAAGTTAAAACATTTCGAAATGCATCTAAATACTATTATTGAATCTCGGAATGCATCTTTCTTTGAACATGTGTTTCCTAATAAGACTAGACAAGAGACTAGTACTAACAAAAGATCTTATGATGTTATTACTAGTCATGATCAAGAACAAGAGCAAGAGATAGATCAAAATGAGAAAAAAGAACCCAGGTGTAGTAAACGTGCTAGAACCTCAAAATCTTTTGGTCCAGATTTTCTAATTTTTTTGTTAGAAAATGAGCCTTTAACTTTCAAAGAAGCTATGTCCAGTCCTGAAGCTCCTTTATGAAAAGAGGCTGTAAATAGTGAAGTTGAATCCATCTTGCAAAATCACACTTGGGAATTGGTGGATTTGCCACCAAGTTGTAAACCTCTTGGGTACAAGTGGATTTTCAAGAAAAAAATGAAAGCGGATGGATCAATTGACAAATAAAAGGCAAGACTTGTGGCAAAAGGTTTTAGATAGAAAGGTCTTGATTACTTTGACACATACTCACTAGTTACTAAAATAACATCCATTAGAATGCTAATTGCCATTGCATCTTTGAACAAACTAGAAATTCATCAAATAGATGTGAAAATAGCTTTCTTAAATGGTGAGTTAAATGAAAAAATTTAC